CTTTTCCTCAAAGGCTTTGTATTCGCCCATTTATATCGGATTTTGTGTCATCTCTGTTTCTCTCTTATATTGAACATTATCTTCCTCTATTTGTTTGTGTACATCAGAGGGATTATTACAAATTTTTCTATTTGTCCTCTCCATGTGTCTCCTCTGGGTTTAGCTCTTCGATGTTAACGTTTAATCTAGTTTTGATGTTTTCTCTGGTCCTTTCGATTTCTGTGTCAGGTTTTCTTTTTTTCTCTGATGATGTCACGCCTAATATTGCTTAGTTTGTTGACATCGGTGTTTAGTCTGTTTGAAGGATGGATTTCTTTTCTTGCCTTATATTATAGGCGGCTTTGGTCGTTTTTCTTGCATTCATTAATGATACGTAAAATGCTGTCATTACTTCAATATACTTTTCCCTAGACCATTTATTTAATGTTCTTTTTGTGAGATTTTCTTTTAAGGAATATAGAATATATTATTATTATTGTTGTTGTTGTTATTGTTATTGTTATTGTTGTTGTTGATTTTTTTGTATTGTTGTTGTTAGAACAATTGTTTATTTGTTAAATAATAAAAAAAAATAATCTATGCATAATAAATTCTAATAATAAATATTGCAAAAAAAAACAAACGATTTGAAACGGCTCGCCCACAAATTTGAAACTAATCCCTCTTGTTTAAAAAATGTCACCGCATGAATGAATAAATGAAAGAATGAATGAATGAATAAATAATTAAATCTCCGGCACTCGTATCAAATATATAAGTTACCAAAACTTATTCTTCTATGAGCCGTGTCCTTTCAGGACGTTGTCGATCATGACTCCCCCAAATTCCCTGGCTTTTGTAGCTCTTAATAAATGTAGACTCGTTTATATCTAAACTTTGTTCCGCCATCCATTTACTCAATCTCACTAAGTTGTTTTCCTCTATCCCTCTTGCTTCAATCTGTTCTGTGAATATCAGATTTTCCAAGCCTCCTTTCCTCATTATGTGCGCTATAAATTTCAACTGTCTCTTCCTGATGTTAAGTATAAGTCCTTTTCTTGTTTCCATCTTCATTAAAACTACGTCGTTGACCCGTCCACATTGTTCTCAGTATCGTTCTGTAAAACTGTTGTTTTAAGTCTGTACTTCAGCTGTGAGGAGATTGTCCAGCGTTCACTGGCATACAGGAGGACTAATATTCCGTAAGAGTTCTGTATTCTTTGTTTTGTTTCTAATAAGATTTCTGTTTCCTAATACTTTGCGTATCTTTTAGAAGGCATCTTTCTCTAGCCCATGTGCTTTTAGATTTCAGTGTCATACTTTCTGTCCTCTGTTAAATCACTTCCCAAGAAGCTTGCCAAGTCAAGCATTTTTTTCAGGACAAACGACGAATACGAATTACAGTATAGAATAAACAAATATTCAAAATATAAATCAATGAATAAATATGCATTTCAATAAAATAAAACAATATAAATTTAATATAATAAGAAATTAGAAATTTAGAAATAACTAAATAACCATCGCTTTGAATATTGCCTTAAAGATACCATCACTTTTCTCAAGCGATGGAAAAGTTATCAATAAGCTGCGATTAGCAGGGTCCCCATCTTTAAATACAATTACCATTTTTTCTTCTCAATTACAAGTGCATTTTGACAAGACACATATGTATTCTTGTTACACAAACAATATGAATTTAAGTTAAAAAGCTTTATCAATTGAAACATTACTTACATAAAAGATCTTTTAAAAAGCAAATCAAAATAAACAACACTGATTAAATATTTATTAAATTATGATTTTAAAATGTCTTATCAACATTAAATATTACCGTTTATGCTGTAAACGCATTTTGAAAGTAATTGGAAATAGGATGTGACATGAGGCTCTTTTTCATTTTAACTGCTGTAGGCGAATGCTTATGCGGTATATAATCACAAGCAACAAGAGGCCTTCCCGCCAGGTAATACTGCTCCTTCGAGAGGAGACTGGGTTGCTCAGACCCTTGATGGATCCCCAAATAGGGAATTGCCGAGGTGGCATGGACAATTTTTCCACAGCATTGCCAGTAAACTTTGACCATGTGTCACATTCGTTAGTGATAAGGGCGCCCTAAATATATTTTTAACGGATTGGAACTATTTTTTCATTGATGCAAGGTGGAAAACACACGAAAAAACGTGCCTTTAGCTGGGACTATGTCAGGAAAAATCTAACAGATAATTAATTAAAGATATGCCTGTATGATTTTTTTTGCAATAATAGTAAACCTGAACAATGCCCAAAAGTCATTCGTGGCAGAAAGTTGTCGAGTAAGAGGCACATATTAATCTTGAACATATGTCCGGTAGATAATTGTTAACCCAAGAATTGGAGCTTCCTCGTGAGAGGTAGTTACAAAAAGCATCAGTTCGAGGAAAGTAACTACTTGAGTGGAACTTATATCTCACCAATGGGGTACGAAAGAAATGGGGATGGTTCGCTATTATGTGTGGGTCTTATACGTGAAAGTTAGAAC